AATTTGGCTATTGTTGAGAGTGCTGCTATAAACATTGGGGTACAAGTGCCCCTATGCATCACCACTCCTGTATCCCTTGGGTAAATTCCTAGCAGTGCTATTTCTGGGTCATAGGGTAGGTCTATTTTTAATTTTTTGAGGAACCTCCACACTGTTTTCTAGAGTGACTGCACCAGTTTGCCTTCCCACCAACAGTGCAAGAGGGTTCCCATTTCTCCACATCCTCGCCAGCATCTATAGTCTCCTGATTTGTTCATTTTGGCCACTCTGACTGGCATGAGGTGATATCTGAGTGTGGTTTTGATTTGTATTTCCCTGATGAGTAGCGACATTGAGCATCTTTTCATGTGCCTGTTGGCCATCTGGATGTCTTCTTTAGAGCAGTGTGTATTCATGTTTTCTGCCCATTTCTTCACTGGATTATTTGGGGGTTTTTTGGGTGTTGAATTTGATAATTTCATTGTAGATTTGGATATTTACCCTTTATCTGATGTCATGTGTAAATATATTCTCTCGTTCCATCAGTTGTCTTAGTTTTGCTGATTGTTTCCTTCACTGTGTAGACCTTTTAATGTTTTTTTTTAATTTATTTAAATCAAAGTTAGCTAACATCTAGTGTAATTATGATTTCAGGAATATAATTTAGTGATTCATCACTTACATATAACACTGAATGCTCATCCCAAGGGCCCCTTCTAATGCCTATCTATCATTTAGCCCACCCTTCCACCCAACAACATGCCAGCAACCCTCAGTTTGTTCCCTGTATTTAAGAGTCTCTAATGGTTTGCCTCCCTCTCTCTTTTTATCTTATTTTTGCTTACCTGCCCCTATGTTTATCTTGTTTGTTTCTTAAATTCCATATATAAGTGAAATAAAATGGAATCTTTCTCCTACTGTCTTATTTTGCTTAGCATAATACACCCTAGTTCCATCCACAATGTTAAAAATGGCAAGAGTTCATTTTTTTATTGAATCACGTCTTCTTAATTCATTCACCAGTCAAAAGACACTGGGGCTTTTTCAATACTTTGGCTATTGTTGATAGTGCTGGTATAAACATTGCGGTGCAGGTGCCCCTGTGAATCACCATTTTTGTATCCTTTGGATAAATACCTACTAGTGCAATTGCTGGGTTGTAGGGTAGTTCTATTTTTAACCTTTGAGGAACCTCCATATTGTTTCCCAGAGTGGCTGCGTCAGTTTGCATTCCCATTAACAATGCAAAAGGGTCTCTCTTTCTCTGCATCCTTGCCAACATCTGTTGTTGCCCGAGTTGTTAATTTTAGCCATTCTGACAGATTTGAAGTAGTATCTCATTGTGGGTTTGATTTGTATTTCCCTGATGAGTGTTATTGAGAATTTTTTCATGTGTCTGTTAGCCTCTGGATATCTTCTTGGAAAAAGTGTCTGTTCATGGCTGTTATCCATTTCTTCATGGGATTATTTGTTTTGGGGTGTTGAATTTGATGAGTTTTTTATAGATTTTGGATACTAACCCTTTATCTGATAGTTTATTTACAACTATCTTCTCCCATTCTGTCTGTTGCCTTTTAGTTTTTCTGATTGTTCCCTTTGCTGTGCAGAAGCATTTTGTCTTGATGAGGTACCAATAGTCCATTTCTGCTTTTGTTTTCTTGACTCTTGAGAAGTGTTGATTAAGAAGTTGCTGCGGCCAAGGTCAAGAGGTTTTTGCCTGTTTTCTCTTCTAGGATTTGATTTCCTGTCTTACATTTAGGTCTTTCATCCATTTTGAGTTTATTTTTGTGTATGATATAAGAAAGTGGTCCATGTTCATTCTTCTGCATGTTGCTGTTCAGTTTTCCCAACACCACTTGCTGAAGAGACTGTCTTTATTCCATTGGATATTCTTTCCTGCTTTATCGAAGATTAGTTGGTCATACATTTCTAGGGCCATTTCTGGGTTCTTTATTCTGTCCCATTGATCTGAGTGTCTGTTTTTGTCCCAGGACCATACTGTCTTGATGATTACAACATTGTAGTACATGCTAAAGTCTGAAATTATGATGCTTCCGGCTTTGGTTTTCTTTTTCAACGTGGCTTTGGCTATTCATGGTCTTATATGGTTCCTTATAAATTTTATGATTGTTTGTTCTGTGAAGAATACTCGTGTTATTTTGATAGGGAATGCACTGAATGTGTAGATTGCTTTGGGTGGCATTGACATTTTAACAATATTTGTTCTTCTAATCTATGAGCATGGAATGTTTTTTCATTTAGTTGTATTTCTTCAATTTCTTTAATAAGCTTTCTATAGTTTCAGTGCGTATAGATTTTCACCTATTTGGCATGGTTTGGATGCTACTGTAATATGGGATAGATGCCTTCATTTCAAATTCTGCTCCTACATTACTGGTGTCTATAAATCCAACGGATTTCTGTACACTGATTTCATATCCTGCACTTCGCTGAAATCATGGATCCATTCTAGCAGTTTTTTGGTGGAGTCTTTCATGTTTTCCACATATACTATGATGTCGATTGGGAAGAGTGCAAGTTTGTCTTCTCCCTTACCAATTTGTATGACTTTTATTTCTTTGTGTTGTCTG